CAGCACATCAAAGAACACCTCAGGAACCTTGGGGTTTGCCCCTTTGGGAAAAGCATGGGAAAACACTTAAGACTTATTGTATTCTGGGCTGAGTGTCACGACTCGGCCCACGCACTAAAGGAAATCCCCAGAAGCCCGGCTGCTCGCTATCCGGTGTCTTCATGCGCATGGTCGATTGATCAGCGCACGCCTTGGCATGTTCCTTGACAGACGAGGCTTGGAACTCCTTGGAGAGAAAGTCTTTGTCCACCACCTCTGAACCTGAACTGCGGTGACCGACCTTCAAAAGAAAGCCACACTCCACCAAGAAAAAGGACAAACAAAAAAGTGCGAGTACGGTAAAGAACTAAGAGGCCGCTGGAAGAAGCATCGCCATCCTCGGCAGAATCAGTCTCCTCATTGGGGCTGAGGTCTGACTTGGCGCGGTCTAGCTTCTTTTGAAGCTTGGTCTCAGGTGTCTTGTGCAGCCCATCAGAAAAGAATTCTTCCTCCTGACTCTCACCATTCCATTTTGGCACAACTGTAGGGGCCATGGAAACGTCGGACCCCGCAACTGACGAGGCCTCGTCATCACTCATGGGCTCACGGCCTGAGTCTTCGGCACCCTGAGCAGGATCAGCCTCATCGTCAGCATCCGATTCATCAGAAGAGCTGACTGGCTTCTTCTTTGGAGCTGGAGGCCGGAAGAGTGGAGTGCCTGATTCTTCTCCTGAGCTCTCATCAGGAGCAGCACCATTGCCCTCATCACTTGAGCATTCATCAGAGTCACCAGCTGTTGCCTGCGTCGACTCATTGGTGCCACTGGACTGTGACGGTGTCTCGGCCATGGCCACAGTCTTTGGCACTCGAAACCTGTCCCAGTACTTCTTGTTCTTGGCAATGGCATCTGGTGGCGCCACTGGTAAGTCGTCCTAGATGGGCCAAGAAAATGTTCAGACTCTGTGTCCAATTGCATCGTTATCAAAACAATTTCTTCTCTACCCATGGTCCTTGGAGTCCTTCTTGCCACCATTCGAACCCTTGCTCGGACTGCGGCGAAGAAAGGACTTGAGTTCAGCCACCCGTTCGTCGTGCGACTCCGTGCCTCACACGCAGCGCACAAGATGGGTGCTGTAGACCAGAACCAACACGTGCAGTGGAGAGACCTATAAACAAACAAAAGCGCGCCCAAACCAAACAAATTGTTGAACTCTATTGGGCAACTGTTTCTGAAGAGGTGGCGGAGAGACCCCATGAGTTTCTTCAGATGTCTCCCTTCTTCACAAGCCATAGTGGACTTGGAATCCCCATCACCAGGCATCAAAAAGGCACCCTTGAGCTCACTGTCCAATCTCAACAGGCAGTCCGCCACAAAGAACGCAGATGGAACCTGACACTATTGATGGCGGGAAGGTCTTGAAGTGGGAAGAACGGAAGAAATAACACCGCCTCAAAAAACAAAATGTGAAGACGAATACCCCTACAAGGAACCCGGTCTGGATAGCACTGACACAGCGGCTTGAGCCAGCAATAATTCTTCGAGATGTCCTGCCGTGGACGCTGCTAAACACAGAGTTCTTTTTGCGGCTCAACATCAAACACACCTTAAATAAGGATTCTTCAAAAAACAACTTACAACCCGGCCCTCCTTTAAAGTAGGCGTTGCGAGGTCGCTTTCCAAAGGCACAATCTGCGCGCCAGCTGGGACCTTGTTCGCATGGATGATCTCCAACGCTTTGCTCGGCATGGCCCGCAACCACTGTCCAGCGATGTCTTCCTGGGATTTCCACAGTAGCGCTGAGCAACATCGACACCGGCTTCACAGCACACCCTCCCCACCCCAAAATAGAACACACACAAAAACAGACAAATATTGGGTAAGTTGCCACCATCGCCTCGTTCCATTCCACTTTTCCAGACCCTTGGATTTGGGGCTTGCGATTGGTCACCAACACAAAACAGAACCTGAAGGAAATGCAACACTTGAAAAGGAGCCAAACAAACGCCAAAACTTGTTCTAGCACAGCCGTGGGCACGCACCGACTTCCACTGACTGGTTCGGGACATGGGCGCAAACACTGGCGTGAGCTGGTGGGCTGGACACGTCGGGCTCTTGGAAACAAGTGCTGCTTTTTACAGGCAGTGGCCGGCGAGTGTGACGCTCCCACCGGGCCCAAAAACAATAACACGTGTGTTTCGAGTTTTTTCAAAAACTTTCAATTTGTGTAACTAACAGTGCCTTTCGAGAGGCCGATATGCGTGACCCTCCCTCGGGTTTGAGAACCACCTGCGCGCACTCCGCTCTGCAGGATCGCGTTGATGAGTTGCGAGCTGAAGGGTGCGCAGTGGATTGAAAGAGGTGGCTTTAAACCACGTTCTTCACAAAAAAACAGCACACAGTCTAACCCACTGGATAGGCAGGTCATGCTTAGGTCATGTTTTTCACAGATGTTTGAAAGAACACAGCCCAGACCAGCATCAACTAGAACAGAGGCAGGTTGTGCGTTTCACCGTCCGTTCAAACCACACACTCGAAAAGAAAGATGGTGCCAAGCTGGCTTGCAGGGGCAGTTATGTGTTTAATCACGGAAGCTCCAAAACATAAACCTATAGGATCGGAAGTTCCAAAACATATACCTATACAGGCTAGGACTGACGCTGTGAGCGTTTCCTATCTATTTTACAAAGCAACATGCACTGCCAAAAAGTACAGCGCACGGCTTCCAAGAAAGTCCATGTAAGCCATGTGGAGAGACTGCAAATTGTGGTAGCTGAGCTACACTTTCAACAAAGCACAGCTGCAGCTGTCGTTTGCAGCAAAGCTGCCCCAAGCGCAACTGGGGAGCCTAAGGGCAAGAGGAAGTAGGGCCCAAAGGGAAAAAGACGAACGACGAACCGACAAGATGACGTCGTGGCGTGCAAGTCTGCGGAGCTCACTAGCACTTTACAAAAGGAAGAAGGGTGGCCACCAGCTGCGTCTTATAATGCGCCCAGGTGCACCAAGCAGGTACGTTTTCACGACAGCTTGGATGGGTCTTCGTTGGCCCATGCCATCCAAGTGTCCATGGGCCCCCCTGCTGGAACAAAGTTAGAAAATAAGAAAGCAAGCCGAGCAAATCCAAAAGGATCCCTATGATTCCAAGGGTTACACACACACACACACTTCGACCCATGCTGGCAAGAGCTCTATCAGTTTTGAAATTCCCGAGTTACTGCAATTTAGACCTTGACTGATTTACAGCAAAGCAACGCATGAGACAGGTTGAGTTTTACTTAGAGTTCTAGGCAATTACTGCAGGTTAGACCTTGACTGAATTACAGCGAAACAACGCATGAGACAGCTGGATTTTTACTTAGAGTTCTAGCTTGCAACAAGGACTCAATAGCACTTTACTTGCGCACTAGCCCTTTACAATCTAGTTACTGCACTAGCCCTTTACATTCTATAGTTACTGGCAGAAACGCTGAATTAGACAGCTTGAGCGTTGCGTAGACTCCCTTCAAGATTGTTAAAGCATGTTAAGCCTGGATGCAGGTACGTCCAGCTGGCCAAGCTGGATATCCCATTTCACTGGTAGCTTCATTGGACACAGTCCCAGAGAAATGCTGTTGCTCCCTGCAGGTCTGTACTGAAGGTACATAGGGAAATCTAATTTAGAAGGTTGTGGTCGTTCTCCTTTGGGACAGGAGGTGACACACACACATGTAGCCGCATCGGCGCTCCCTTGACTGAAAAACTAACCTGACACCTACAAAGCCTCTAGCAACGAACGAAAACGTGGAAACAAAGGAAAGAAAGAACCCTGGAAAGAGAGAAAGCAAGACGTGCATGAATTACTCAGGGTGAAGCTTGCAAGTGAATACTTAGCACTTGATTAAAAATTGACCTGAAACCCAAACAGCCGCTAGCAACAAGCGAAAACCTAGAAAGAAACGAAAGGACCCTGGACGGAGAGAAAGCAAGACTGTGCATGAATTACGCAGGGTGAAACTTGCAAATGGATACATTAGCCGCATGTCATGACAAGTGGTTACACCAGCAGCATGGCATGTCATTCTTTGTTGAAATCTCAATAACCCCTGGAGCTTTGTAGCAGCAATCTCGAGCAGAACGATAAGCCGGTGAGTATCGTGCAAGAACGCAATCCTGTGACTGATCGCCCTGGAGGGCCTGTGCTAAACGCGCCCAAATCTGGGATCACACAACAGGCCGCAGTGGGAACCTGTTGCGAAACACACTTCGATCCATGCTGGCAAGAGCTCTATCAGTTTTGAAATTCCCGGGCTACTGCAATTTAGACCTTGACTGATTTACAGCAAAGCAACGCATGAGACAGCTTGAGTTTTACATAGGGTTCTAGGAAATTACTGCAGGTTAGACCTTGACTGAATTACAGCGAAACAACGCATGAGACAGCTTGAATATTACTTAGAGTTCTAGCTTGCAACAAGGACTCGCCCTTTACAATCTAGTTACTGCACTAGCCCTTTACATTCTAGTTACTGGCAGAAACACCGAATTGGACAGCTTGAGCATTACGTAGACTCCTTTCAAAAATGTTAAAGCATGTTAAAACTTGATGCAGGTACGTCCAGCTGGCCAAACTGGATATCAAAATTTCACTGGTAGCTTCATTGGACACAGTCCCAGCGAAATGCTGTGTCCCCCTGCAGGTCTGTACTGAAGGTACATAGGGAAATCTAATTTAGAAGGTTGTGGTCGTTCTCCTGTGACACATGCGCGCACACACATGGTACACTCAAGTCTCTCAAGTGCGCCACATTATGTCCTACTATTGACCGGGGCTGGGTACGGCTTCAAAGTCGTGTGCCCAAACCAAATGGCAAATGGTTCGTTTAGACGGACACCGGTTCGGTCAGTTCACGGGAATAGTCGTAAAGTTATTTTTCTTTGGAGGCACATATGTAATGTTTGTCTACGTATTTCTATGGCAGCAACTTTTTGTCAAACACCTCCCAACTCCATAGATCATTTGTGTCCAACCCTGGCTTCCTTTGAGGCTTGGACTGCCTGTGTCAGTGCGGTGCAGCAAGGAATGCTGAAGGCGGGGTTTTGGTGCAACCACATGCCACATCACACGATTGAGTGATCCAAAGGCTTCACGCGGCGAAAAGTCGGGCATTCTCTTTGGGGTTTGGCATTTCGCATGGCTGTAGCTAGAAATCATGGCGAACTTGGGGGACTGTGCAGTTTGGAGTACAGATGGGTCCAGTATTCCTAGCACCAGGACCGCAGCTCTCTTTCATTTTGTCCTGGCACACTTTCCCTGAAAGGTAGCATGTATCCTGATAATGGAAGCATGGCAGAAGCATGGGAGAAGCGCGTGGGAGCAATTACTGTATCATCGAATATGGAAACACGTCTTTCACAGCACCTGCAACCTATCATAAGGCAGCTGTTCGTCGGCTGCCCATCCAGATCAATCCCAAGAGAGTCCCTGGTCCAAGGGACTTGATGGACTGGATTCGGCTGGTTAGAACTGCAGGAGCATGGCATCAACGAAGGTCGTGTGGTGGAGACAGAACATCCCTACGCTGCCAAGAGCATCTTGGTGGAGCTGGTCGTGGGTGGTGGAGCCGGGCAAGTTGTGCTGCTGATCGGGTGGAGCAGGGCAAGCTAGACGACGACGGTGGTGGTGGGGGTTGTCGGGGTGTCAGCTTGACTTAGCAGAGAAGCACTATATGATATAAAACATATATCATATATACATATTATATATATATAACATTATAAAACAGTACTTTGATTCAATCTGTTTCCTGCAGTGAGGTGACTACTGCAATGTGTGGGTCTGGATCAAAGCAAAGCAAACATCCAAACATTTGGCAAAAATCACGGTCTCTACTGGTTGCATGGTCACCAGGTGAATGTGACGCACTCGTCCGAGGCCCCCCTCCCTTTCCTTGGAACACCCAGGTGCGCGCTGGAGCGAGACAGTGCGCTTCGAGAATGCCAAGCAATTGCAGGTGTGGCCTATAGGTGACATTGCCCTCCAGATTTGTGGTCGTGCATGAACTTTGGTGGCAGCACCCGAACAGACCTGCAGCCGCAGTCGCACTGGCGACTGCGCTCACTTGTGTCGCGCCCACGGCGAGGTCAGCTTCTCGAATCGCTGTCGAACCTATGACAGTTGCGCCTCCGTGAGCCCCTGGGCGATCGACCGGCCGCGCCATTGGACGGAGCCGAATTGGGGTCGCCGAGGTTGGACGTCAAGTGGCATGTGTGTACGGTGTCGTACGCAACCGATGGCTTCATCATGTATCCAGGCGAAGCTTTTGTTGCACATGTTTATCCATGCTTTTGCAAACTCTATGAGTCTGGTCGGAAAAAAAGGAAGACCGGGAGGAGACTCATTGGCTCATTGAATTCCCTCCTGTGGGGGAAATCTAGTTGAAGTGGTGCATTGTGGGCTGAGAGTGCTTCAGCCATGTGCTAAATGTGTTCCAAAGCGGATGTGAGCCAGACTGACTATATAACCTGACTAACCTTGCCTGAAGTTTCTTGGCACAGCCCCACAAAAAATTGAAATTCACCTGGCACCCACATTCCACTCCTTGGAACTGACCCACGACCTCGGTCGTGCTGACTCCCAGGTGTCCATTCAGGCAGCCTCAGCAAGGCCAATGCCGGAGTTGGCGCCCGAGTGCAGGTGCAGGCAACGGCCCGCAACGGCCGGCGATTAGGTGATGAGAAGAATGACGGCATTCTTTGTTTTTCTCCAAACAAGGAACACACACACACAAACAAAAAGTGGTTGTTTTGAAGCATTTCGACTGATTTGAGGATTCGCTTTTCTCCCCGCCAGGGCGGTCTCTGCAAATGAATGTTCATCCATGAAGCATAGTGAATGGGAAGAAGTATGGCAAGATATTTTGATCGTCTTTCTTATCTGGCTTTTCACTGAGCAAAAACCGGAGTTTGCCATGGACCGATAAGACTAGGGTTAGTTCTACCATGTTCTACTACTATGGCTTCACCAGAACTGGTTTCGAATTGATACCTGATTTCGAGACACCGGGCTGTCGTGTGTCCAGGGCTCGTACTTCCCGGCCATGCAACTACTGGGCTCTCCTCCGGTCAGGCCATGGCCAGCGACGCCTCGATCCATGGCACTCTCACGGGGCGCCTGGAGGGGCAGAAGTGGAGCGTCCGCCCCCGGGGCCGCAGTAAGGAGCGTCGGCCACGTCAGGAGTGGGCAGGGAACGCGGGTGGTCGGTGGTCCGTGCTTTTCTCGGGCGTGGGAAGCATAAGCTTTGGGATACGGCAAAATTTGGGACCAAGTCAAGGGGAACGAAGACGGAAACGCTCTTGTTTTTCTTTGGGATACGGAGTGTGATTCTGCAAAAATGCGAGACCGACCAATCACCTTGTCGCATCTCTCTGTTTCGGAGGGGACGAGAGAGATAGGCAAACCATTTCGTTTGAAATGAGTTCCTCAATTATTTTTAAGTCATCACAGCGAACTCGTACAGTCTCATCAAGAACTGGGCGGAGGTGTTGCACTCAAATGTTACTGTGTTACAGCTTTTGCCGACCATGGTCAGAAAATCACCTGAAGAGTTCTTGTTTTTCCTTACAGACCTTCACAGATCTCGTGGATTCTAGGCTAGACACAGATGTGCCTCCTGCGCCCAACGGCTCTCTCAAATATGGCCACAATATGCCACAATGTTCCAGAAGGAAACACGTTAAACCACTGTGGAACAAAAAACATGGCCACTGTGAAACCATCACTGTACCAGTGTATGCTGTATACAACCACCACTGTGGTGTTTTGTGGATCTGGTGACCGGTGATGGAGCACAGGAGTTTCAACATCCCCCGCCCAAGGCATTGACCACGATGAGGCAGAGATTTCTTCTCAGTTCCGCGAGTGGTTGGAGGCAAAGAGACCCAGCGGGACAGGCGGAAACGAGTGAGAACCCAGGGCGGAGCCACGAAAAATTGGGTTTTCAATGTTTTCATCCAAAAAGCAAGGTGTTCCATGGTTTTTGGAGGCTGAACACCAGGTTTGGGATGGTTTTGGAGCTCAAGAATCAAACTTTGGGCCCCGAAAGAATTCTTTTAGCCCCCGGGATGTGGATGTCGCTGGCACGGCTGTGGAGTCCCGAACTTCCGAGACCAGCAACTTTTAGCACAAGGAGATTAAATCCAATGCATGACACATGCAGACTGGGTTGTACAGGAGTTTCTTTCAAAGACATGCTGAAAAGGTAGAGTGTGTGGAAGGGTTCCTAAAACCTGGCCGTGGGCATTTGAAGGGAGATTGTGACTCGATCTTTCTTTTGGAGGAAATTAGTTTGCACCGACATCATCCGACAACAAAGTACACCCTTTCTTTTCTCAAAAGCCAATGAGTTGCAGAGCGATATCAGTGCCGTGCTTGCTTGCCAACTTCATGCTCCCTGCGGCTCCGATGCACGAAAACCGTGGAAGATCGCAATGGAGGTTCCCCGTTCATCAGCCTATCCATGCCGCGGAGACCAGTTCTGCGCATCACGCGGAACTCGCCCAGTTCTGCAGAACTCACCGCGCAAGACGCGCGAGTGTTCACTACAAACAGCGCAATCCCTTGAGAGCAATCCCGACAGCGCAGTGAGTGGGAGCAGGTGCAAGTTCAACTTGAACCTTTCTGTTCGAGAAGCATGCATGACACGTTCGAACTGAGACTGAATCAAGTCATGTCAAGTCATGTCAAATGCCGGAAACGTTTCTTTAGAGAAGAAGCAATCCTGTATGCGGCCCAAAGCACCGGAGAATTCGCCATGCTGCCAGGCAGACCCTGCGCGTAACAGCATGGTCACGGTGGCTCAAGAGGTGACCTGTGTTCACCGGGCGCCGGTGAAGGTCGTTGGTTTCAGAGTAGATGGCACACTCCAGAAGGTCGGTGGTTTAGTAGTGGATGCCCCCATCTGTCTAAGACATGTAGGGGTGCCAGTGGCATCTTCTCTGAAACCACTATTTTCTGTAGTTTATTGTTATCTTTTTAACGCCACAAAGGTCACAGAATAACGTCTCAACAAAGGAATTTGTTGTTTGCTCCTTTGTAGGGTTTGGGATATTACAGAAAGATACCTTGAGCGGTGATGTGAAAGAGACATGTTGGTTTCAACATTTGAATGTCCAGTGTTTTGATATGAAAGCGCCAGAGTTTGGGTGATTGGTGCTCCAACGCAGTCATCGTCTAATGGTTGCGGGGTGGTTGGGGAGAAAATGGAAAGCAATGGCACCGAAAGGATGTGTGTGAAAGCTCGACAGGACCCCATATTTGCTCTCAGCCAGAATTCTTAGTCAGAATCGTGCACTACTCATGTCAGATATTGGCAAACACTCGAAAACTAGAAGCAATATTGTGCCTTTCCAAGTATTTGGTTGCGTGACTGCGCCTCCAAAGTGAATCAACACCTTTGATGCTTCCATGGGCTACCGTATTCTATTTGTACGTAGTCTTCAGCAGGAGGGAAATAGATCGTGGTGGCCATGAGGAGTGAGGGCATGTGAAAGATTGAAGCCCTCCCCGACATGAATGTAACTTGGAACGTCACCTCATTGTTGGGGGCCAAGTTCTCATACCGGGGGATCCACGCTCTGAAACAGGACTTGAGTCTTGGAACACCAAGAGGACGAGCGAGCAAATGGGTCTTCGGGTAGTGGGTCTAATTCTTTTGGTTGGTTATGCAGCCCTTCAAGTATAGTTTGGATCCAGGAGGGGGGGGTATCCAAGGTGGCTGATGGTTCTTCCTGTCATGTTGCAGATGGCATGTGATGGTTTGACTGAGTTTCAAGATAGTGAAGAGAATTATGCTCGCAGCCGGTTATTCTCTCAGGCCCGACCTTTTGATACCTTTTGTATGATAGTTTGATAGTCCAGTTCCTTCAAATTCCTGACACCACACCAGCAATTTGCACGTTGTCAAGGATCCTGTGAGAGAGCCTTGGGAAGGCCGCTGTGTTTGCAGGTCAAGGTGGTCGAGGCCTACTACGAGGATGGCCTCAAGGTGCGTGGCTCATGGGTTGGTGTGCTCTGGATTGACAGGCTTTAAACTTTAAACTTTCTTTCCATTCATGCTGTAAGGATTTTTTGGCATGTGTTGGGAGGGCACCATTGCAGTTGGCCCCTTGCAAAATCCAAGATAGACCATGTCTGCTCTGAAGTTCCTGGAAACGCCTTTGGTCAGCCTGACGTTTTCGTGTGCAGGTCCAGAGGGGTAGCATGCGCGTTGCTTTTCTTTTTTTCAACCATTTCACCATGAATAGACCGTCCTCCAAGTGATGACGATTCGAATGGAACACCCCGAGCCGTGCAACTGGCAGCGGTTTCTTAAAGACCCTCGTGTTTTTTGTGAGCTCGCTTTCGGTTTCAGAGCGCTTTAGAGTTTCATATACAGATTCTCTATGATTCTCTTGTTTTTTCGACATGACAACTGGTTTTTGTTCCATTCCCACCACCCCCGGGGCAGCGACGAGACGTCCCGACCAGTGACCAGATCCGGGTTCCGACGTCGCAGGCGGGCGATGAGATTCATGGCTTCCATTTGGACATGTCCAGTCCCATGACGCCTTTCAGTGACTTGGTGGAGGTCGGGAAGTGGTCAGAAGTGGTGTTTAGAAGTACAGGACAGTTCGGGTGGTGCAGGTGACGCATCCAAGGTCCCCTGGAACTCAAGAAAAAACATGGACAATCACCATGAATTAGCAACAGAAGGTGAAGTCTCATGCTATGCTTTTGTTTCGCATGTGGGTGATCGGTTCAAGAGTTGCATTGTCTTTTGAATCATCAAAAGATCCACAACATGTTGCTGTCAGAATCTGTCGGTGTAAAACTGTGAAACTGCATCACACTGTCGTCAGAAGCTTTCGCTGAAGTTGCCTTAGGCTTGTTGCAAAAAAAACATCACACCGTTTCTAGCAAGGGTTGAACACAAGTTGAACACAAGTTGGATCGCAATGGTTGATCGTCTCATGTCGATTGAAACCCCAAAAATCAGGTCTCCGTGACCTGCGGGACCTCAATGTTTCCACCTGTTCGTCCCAGTTCCCACACCCCTCGACACTCTCGTTCCACCCTCGTGCGACCTGGATACGCCGCCGCCTTGGTGTGAAAAACCCCGGGGTGCCGACGCGCTTCACGAGGTGTGACTGGCTTCAAGAGTATGGGCCCAGCACAAGAGGCATCGCACGGGCGATCTCCGCTTTGTGAGTGGACATCGGTGCCCTAGAGCCATGAAATGCGGTGTATTGGGTGCTGAAAAGGAGAAAACAACTATATATAGATACACACACACTTCATCACACTTGGATATAGGCTCGCAAGAAGATAATCAGTTGTGATGGTCCGGTGATGCGGCTAGCACTTTACGATACTGAAGATTAGACCTTGAGAAATGCATAACGGTAAGGCGAAACGTCTGAGGAACCGACATGTTGAACACACACACACGGAAAAGCACCTCATACGGAAAAGTAGGGTGAACAGCTTCTTCAATAGTTCAAAAGGCGGGTGAAACAAGCAGGTACGTTTGCACAGGAAACGTGCAGCGTCTTTGTTGGCCGCTGACTGCACGAATCCCCAGCGCCCCCTGCGTAGATGGTGCATTAAACATGTGTGAATCCCTTAGGAACAGGGTTTGATACACACAGTATGTCAAACAAGATTTAATGTTACTCTAGCAGGTATTTTGGGAGGTTGTTTACGTTTTTTGTGACCCCAAGGAGTTTGCACACACCTGGATTTGGATTTGGAGTTGTTTGAGAAACACCTACTTGAGAATGTGTTGGGCAATGTTGCAGCAGAAGATGTGAGAGCGCTACGTGTGTTCCTTCTGCGAGGATGGCGTGATGGTGGGCTGGTACTTAGACGTGGACGCCTTGATCCAAGAGGACGCTTCCTGCGTGGGCTGAAATCCCTCGTGGCCCCCGGTGTGATTTGTTCGATCACCTTGTTTCTGGCGGTTCGGGCCGTGGCATGAGAGTGGGGGACAGCACCAGGAGATGGAGAAAGGCGTGAGGTAGGAAAAGAAAGCAAGCTAGACAAAATCACAAACACAATGGCCCAATGGCCATCAAACCAGTCAAAGCTAGCAAACCAAAACCAGTACTTAACGAAGAACTAAACAGAAAAGGACAAAGTGATTGTTATTTCTGTTTGACATTTTCTAGATTCTTTGCCATATTTTTGTGTGCTACATGCTTGAGACGAGTCATTTGCAAAAACTTGGGGCACTCGTTTGATTTCTGCTCAAGTTGTCCAAGTTTGCGCCATCGACTTGTCCCTTTGTGGAGGGTTCTCGGCAATTTCCCTCGTGTTTCTTTGGATTGATTGTGCACCGGGGAAAGCACCCCCAGCACCTTGGGCGTTGATTCGTGGGGTGTGAGGGCAAGAAAACTCTCCATCCATCCAATCTCACCACTCTCTTGGACCATCAAGAAGCTACGTTCGGGGCTCCTGGCATCGCTACTAGGAGCGATCGGACGCTACGTTCGGGGCTCCTGGCCGTACTACTACGAACAAGAAGCTACGAACGGGCTCCTGATCCAATGGGTGTCCTGGAGATCCCTAGGCCGCTCTCGCGTCGCTCCGGTCGCTCCCCCGTTTCCACAGGAGTCGTTCCAAGAGTTGGAAGCTCCGGAGCTCGGTCCCTGCCCGACCTGTTGGGAAGAAGCCACTGCTGTGCCTGGGATTTTTTTGAACGAAAGGAAGGACAGGAAGGACAGGAAAGGAAGGAAACTACGCTGAACATACTTGGAGCTATCCCAAAAACCGGTGTGCCCCAACAGCCAGAGCAAAACAGAATTGTCGACGCTTTGCCCCGTGGTTGCTCAGAGGCTTTTCCACCGAACTTGGGATGGAGTGCCATCACCCTGATACTGAGCTTTTCCCACACGTGGCAGGAATTGGGATCTGAAATGGCTTTCCCGCTATTGGGTCAAAGCTGCTATCCAGTTGGAATGATAGCTGGGGCCAAGCGGCCCAACCGCAAGTGACACCTTGAACAAGAAGGGACACGAACAGCAAAGTTACCGCGCAGCATCAACATGGCGTCGTGACAATCACGCCATCAAACGAACTCCCAGCCTAATTGCAGATCCTGCGCTGGCTGAGGATCTGCAGTCCTTCCAAAAACGCTTGGATTTGATGCTCCGGGAGGCCCGGTGGGGCCTTTGTTGGTGTTAAGACTAGACACACATAAAAACAGGGGATGGTCGGCCTTTGAAGAGGACTGACAGTGGTGTGTGTGTGTGTGCCCCTTGTAGTCACAGGGATCCTGTCGGATTGTACCAATTTTTATCGTTTTTCAGCAGGGGGGCGCAGCAGATGCAAGGGACTGCGCCTAACAAAGCTACCTTGCATCTGGGAAGCCAGGTCTGATCAACCTGGTGTACCTGCTTTTGAGAACCTAAGTACGGCAAAAGCTGTCTCATTCTTTGTTGTGCAGTAAGCGGCTAATGCAGCGGCGACTCACCTTGGAGTATTTGGACCTTCAGAGCCCCACGGATTTGCACGCCCCGTCGTCACCTTGTCGACCCGTCGTTTCGTGGCTTTCGACCTTGGCCTTTAACTACAGGCGCTCAGGCCCCCTTACCTGGCTTTTCAGGATTTGGTTTCTTAGGCCGGCGTGTGGCACCGCTGTCAAGTCAGTACGCATATCCATAAGTGTGTCTCTCCCAGTGAGAGTCCGGGATGAGCCCGTAGAGTGCCTCCCGTGGACCCGTCGAACGGGTGTTTGTCGTTATCTCCCATGCCCGGAGATGTAAGTGCCCAGAGCGGGTGGCCTAGGCCGAGAGAATTCAGATTTTTGTTTCATTTTTGGAATTCCAAGTTGGCTTATGCCTTTACGTGACCGCAGCGGTCACAGCAGCCAGCCACATTGGCACGGCGTACGTGGCCGCAGCGGCCGAAGTTTGTTCAAGGTTCATTGGAACCTGTCGCGAGCTTAGTCCCCCCCCTTCCCCTTCCCTCCCCCTTTCTTTCTTTGCTTTTTGGGGTTGTCCTGAATGGAATACTCAGGGTCACCCCTCTCTTTCTTTGGTGTGTCCCTGGACGATTGTTCGTAGCTGGGAACACCTGCCTTTTCCTTTTCTCTCCTCTCCCTTTCTCTCCCTCTCTCTTTCTTTCTTTCTTTCTTTCTTTCTTTCCTCTCTTCACCCTCCTTGGGTGTCCCTGGATGCTTTTGTCATAGCTGGGAACCCTTCTCCTTCTTTTGGTGTGTCCTTGGACGCTTGCGTCGTAGCTGGGAACACCTTCCTTTCTTCCCTTTCCTTTCTCGTCTCTCCCTACCCCTCCCTCTTGTCGGGACCTTAGCTTGGGTTGCTACTTGGGGCTCCTGGCCTTTCTACTAGGTGCCAGGTTGCTACTTTGACGCTACTAGAGGTTTCTGGCCTTTCTACTACTTTGTCCGCGCCTATCGAGGACGTACGTCTTATCGACGTACTGAGTCGCAAACATGAGAATTGGACTCTACGAATGGCCGATTGGTTCAGTTTGAGGTATTCCGGAATCGTCCAGAGTCCAGAGGCCTCCCTTTGGGGAGGCGTGTGTGTGTGCCCCTTGTAGTCACAGGGATCCTGTCGGATTGTACC